GCCTGCCTGTAGCGCATCATGTGACGCGGGTAAGTCGGGCGGGCGGGCGGGCGAGCGCCACAGTGGCCGCGGTTGCCCCCCATTCATTCGGTGGGCGCCGCGGGTGCGGGTGTGCGCGGGTGTGTGTGACACTGCCCCTGTGAGCGCGGGCACAGAGACAGACACAGAGAGAGAGGGGACCCTGTGGCAGGGAGAGAAAACAATTTCTCCTGCTCTGCAGCTTCTGCTCAGGTCTGTGCCTATTCCGTTTCTTATCAGAATAAACATACTTTTTGTTTTTTTCCTTGCCGTCCCAGTCAGCTTTCTTCTAAGGGAAAAAAAATCGCATACTAAAGTTAAATCATTAAAAAATGTTGGAAGGCTGATCTTTTACTAGCTGGTGGGCAGGACGGAGGGGGGGGATGCTTTGGCAAAGCGAGCCTGAATGCAAGGTTATTGGATTACCGGTGAGAAAGCTGTTAAATAAACAGAAAAAGAAAAGGTGAAGCTCCGGCGTTGCCGAGTGGTGCATGCGGAGGTGCGGGAGTGCCCGGAGCGGGGCCGCCCGCGGGCCGCGCGTGTCCCGCGGCGGGGCGGCCCGGCGAGCCACGGGTTAAGGCGGCGGCGGCGGCGGCGGGGCCGGTGCTCCCGCCGGGCCGTCTCCCGGCTCCGCGCGGGGCTGTCACTCGCCGCGGGGCCGGGGGGCGGCGGGGAGGAGCGCGGGCACCGCGCTTAAGGTGGACCGGGATGAGCGGGAGCTGGCGGCGAGCGCGGCCGTTGGGGACCGGCCGTTGGGATGCGGCCGTTGGGCCGAGCGCCGTGCCAGGAGCGCCGCGGCGCCCGTGCGCGTTTTGTGCCTTGAGGAACCGCGGCCGTAACTTTGGGTGAACTTCGAGGGCGAGAGAAGGCATCACGATAGTAATAATAATAAGAGTAACAAACGCCGCAGCTGTGTGGCGGCGCGCGGGAAGCCGCGAGCCCTTTGTGCCGCCCCGCTCGCCGCGCCGGGTGTCGAGGCGGGGACGCCGGCTTGGAAGCGGCCCCGCGGGCCGTGCTCGCCGCCGGCCCCGCCGCCGCCTCAGCCCACAGAGCCCGAGCCGCCGCCAGCCCGCGGGGCCACGGGCCCGGCAGGGAGCGGGGCGGCGGCAGGAGCCCCCGGGCGCCCACTGCTCAACACCGGGTGCATTCCTGCCCGCCGGGTGTCACTTACAGGGATGTTTCACTCTCGCCTCAGAAAGCAGCCTTTCCTTTGCGTGGTGTTTGCTCTTGACGGCACGCAAAAATGGGTTTGTTTTAAAAAAAATGTGTTTGGAAACAGAGCGGACGTGAGCGGTTTTACATCAGATACTGAGGAAAAACAGTTAAGTTCACTGATAGCGTGCCTGTAAAATCCTACTAGCCCCTGGCAGGTATTTTTTTCCCCTGAATAAGTAAGTAAACCTTTTTTTTTTTTTCCATTATGTATCATAAAATAAACAGATTTTTTTTCTTTTTTTTTTTTTTTTTTCCTTTTTCCCCCCCTTTTTTCCCTTCGGCCTTGGCACAGCGGCAGGTCCCGCGCACGGCGGGCCCGCGGGGCTGCCTCGCCTCGCGCAGCCCCTAGCATATGGGCTCCATTTTCTGGTGCCTCCTTGGTCTCCCACTCTCCCGAAACGTGGCAGGAGGAGCAGGGCGGTCTCCGGCGTGGAACGAGTGCCTAGGCTGGAGGTGGGCAGTGGGAGCGCCGCGCTAGTGATGCCCAGCCCCGTGAGCAGAGCCCGGTTTAACCGCATATGTACATATATGTGTCTATATATGTGTGCGTGTAGGTGCACGGCAGGCGCGGGCCGGTGCCCCCGCCGCGGCGCTGGCCGCGGGCGGCTCGCGGGTGCAGGATGACGTCACCGCGCAGCGCGGGGCTCCCGCCGCCGCCTCCCGCCGCCGTCCCCGCTCCTGCCCCCGTGCCGGGCACCTGGAGCCCGCGGCGGGGGCGGGCACCGCGGACCGAGACCCTTCCCTGCACACGGGCAGCTTTGCAAGGTGGGTTGGACTTTGCTTGCCTTCTTTTTTCCTCCGTTAATGGAGCAGTGAATAAAATTTAAAGAGGACTGTGAACATTCCTGTTTTCCCTTTCTTTCCCCGTTGTTTTGCTACCGGGGGTTGCGAGGAGTATGCTCCGAGTAAGAAGTAGGAGATGTGTCATGCGTCACTGGGGCAGGGGGCTGGAAAGGAATTTGGCCCTGGGGAGATGCGGTTCGGGCCGTGCTGCCGGTGCCGAGGCGCTGCGAGGCTGTGCGGAGTGGGGGATGGAGCTCCGCGCTTATCCCCCTGCTCCCCAGCGACACTGCTGCTGGTGTTTTCAGGCCTGCCCACTGTGCTGTGGAAAAGCTTTTGCTGGAAAGGACCCCACGAACCCAGCAGGGAGCAGAAGCATGGGAATAGCAACTTTTAGCAATAAACTTCAAGGTTTCAGGACACCCTCTGCCAGGTATTTCTCTTATTGCCCTGGTCAGTATGTGCCAGATGAGTTTTGCTTCAGAAGAGAAGCAGTCTGCATATTGCAGCTTTTCTGCTGTGGGGTGCTGGCGTGGGGCGCGCGAGGGCTCGGGCTGCAAGCGCTCGTGGCGGCGGCGGTGCCGCTGCTGGCGCTTCCGTTCCCACGCGCGGGCGCCGCGGACGTTCCCGCCGCCGTGGAGCACAAGCAGCGCGATTGTGAGCGCTCTGCCCTGGCTCCCTGGCTGCTCCGCGCAGCGATTCCGGCACCGCGCTATGAGGGCAACCTGTTGGCTGGAGCTTGGCTGGACGTTGGTTCACGCGGAGCAGTTATGAAGGGAAGGGGTCTGCGTTCCCTAACCGTTGGGTAAGCAGTGTCTTTGAGTGCCAAAGTACCCAAAGTTGTGATGTGGTTGTCGCCAGGCTGGTGGTGCCACCGCTGCGAGCATCCTGTGGCTGCTGGTGGCACTTTGCAGTGTGGGCACCTCCTTGCCCGCCTCCGAAAGGAAGAAGTGTCATTTGTGCTGGGTGACAGGTATTGCTGATACAAGATTCATCTTGGGTAAATCATTGTATTTGCCAAATCACGTAAAATGTGAGACTGTGAATAAGGTTTTTGTACATTAATAAAGCAAGGGAATATAAATATATTATTGTTTGGCCTGTGGCCTTTTGGATTTTCTTTTTTTTTTTTTTTTTTGGGTAGGGAGGATGCCTGTGATATTTGCCTTTCCCTGACAGAAACACAAAATGCAACTAGAAGATAATTTTCCAAAGTGAGGATTTCACGTTTAGAAAAGCTGAAATGGATGCAGCCCCGAGACTTTGACCTTCCCGGCTCTTGACTAGCGGTTGTTTACTACAGCTGCAGCTGTGTGTGTTTGCAAGAGGAGGAGCTGCGAACACAAGCGCGCTCGCTTTGCAGGGCGAGAAGCAGCCCCGAAAGAGGCCGGGACAGGAGGGCTGCCCCCGGGCTGGAGGAAAGGCAGCGCCCGGTAGCCGGGGGCTTTGCTTTCCTGCACACTGATGCTGCGTCTGTAAGGCCGATTCGGAGGCTCAGAAGCACAAGTGTGAAAGCAGGATACACCTGTGCTGCCTGTGCACCGAAAAAGAAATTCCACCTTTTTTTATCTCAAAAATTAAATGCATACTTTATGCTACAAAAAAAAAAAAAAAAAAAAAAGAGAAATGCCTTTTCTAGATTATTATTTTGCAGTGATACTAAATGTGCTTTTAACAGTGTTGTTCAGTCAGTCAGAGGTTCATGTAACCTTACCCTGTGAGGCTGCCGCGTTCAGCAGATGAACTTTAGACGGTCCTTGTCAGAGCTAAGTGAATTTTTCTTTTGAAATCAGTATTAGGTGTGCAAATAAACAAGGAGCAGGAGTTACACTTGAGGACTCGCGCTGTCAAAATGTTTTTATTAGTTTATATCTAGGCATAACGCTACATGGGTAACTTGGCCGGAGTGTTGTCCGGACCCATCACCGTTGCAAAAGGGAGTAAAATTGGGCTAATGCAATGCACTAATGGACTAACTGCATCCTTTTTTGAAGTTTGTTATGAAATAATGTTAGTGCTGCTGCATTTGCATTGGGAAGCTTGTTTCTGTGCAAGAGGTCTGCCAAGATTTGGTGCCCTAAAGTTTGTGAACTTTCTCACACTTTGTTCAGGTTTGATATAATTGGTAGTTTGGGGTTTATTCTGCATTTATGCCTTCATATTTGTTCGTAAGCAATACCTCTGTGGTCTGCTCTTAAATTAAGTTTGTTTATTTAATGTTTGGTAGCAGAGAAGTTGGAAGCGTGTACTGGAAGGGAGAAGGAGGGGAAAAACCAGGGTAGCTTTGGCAAGAAGTGCAGATGCCTCCGCTGCACGAAGCACTGAGTGTATAGGACGGTGTAATCCCTCGGTAGTTATCAGAAAGCAACATCTAGACTCTGGTCCAGCCAAAATCAAAGCATAATATAAAAATATTATTTTACATTCATGTCCTCTGCCATATAATATGTTTTGAGCTGAAGAAAAAGGCCTTCAATCATGGCTGTTCTGGTGTTAGACCGGTTCTTTTTCTAATTCGTATCCTGCATTTTTGGGAAGGGATGGTGGTACAGGCCATCCCTGTGCTGCTCAACTGAAGTGTATGGTAAAACTTGGCTCGGGAGTGACTGTGACTTCATGGGAAGTACATTCGGGGGCTGAAATTAGCACAGGCCAGTGCGTAATCCTGGGCGCTTTCCCTGAAGGAAAGGGATCCTCTTTCTCTGGAGCGTCTTCCCTGCGGCACTGCAGGCAGGGGTGGCTTGGTGGAGCCAGCATTCGGTCCCCAGCTGGATCTGCCCTCGTGCCGTGCTGCTTGCACTGAACTAGCCCAGTGATGGATCCCCTGGCGCTGCCTCCTCCCCGCCCCGAGGGAGCTCCCTTGCCTCCAGCTTCAAGCCTCACACTGATGATTTCTCTTTCCACATCTGTGTGAATCAGCTCCTTTGTCGCAGGAACCTCTTCAGCTGCACGCATGAGGATAGGTAGCATTTGTCCAGCTGCTGTCTTGCTGATTATCCCTTTTTTGTTGCTCTGAGATCATTAAATCATTAAGTTCAGGTTGTAAAAGCTAAGATATATCAGAACTGAAATTGCTCACGTAAGGTCAGGTAAGGTCACGTAGTCAAAGACCATTAAAATACATGCACTGTGAATCAGAATAAACTTCTCAGGGACCGCTGTATTTTTTGTCTCCTAGTTTGTTTGTTTGTTTGTCTGCCTGTTTTGGGGATGAGTGCTGGAGGAGCAGGAATTTCACCACGTGTGGTGGTGGTTTTCCTCACCCGGCTCCCTGGAGCTGCTGGGCTTGGCAGGCTGGGAGTTGCAGCGAGGAGCAGCAGCCCTCGAGTGGAGGGAACGCAGGGGCAGCAGCAGCGGCTTTTGTCCGCGTTGGGAACCAGGCTGCAGAGCAGGAACGAGCTCTTTGCTGAGGGCTGGCACCGCCTGCATTCCGTGTTCCCTGCGTGGCAGAGCAATGATGGGGTGCCGAAGTCCCCAGCCTGGTTCCTGCCCCTGGATGGAGTGTGTTCCAGTGGTTTAAACACAGAGCAATTAACTGCATGACCGTGGCCATCCCTGCAATAAAGAGGGTAATTTCATTAACCAGCTGGAGTATCATGTTGGAGACCGCAATGCTGGCCTTGGAGCTGACAGGAGTCACTTCACACAACCACTTTGTTACTCTCTCTGGAAGGTGGGAAGCAAAGAGCCTGATCCCAAGTTACCACACGGCGCTGCTCCATGGCCAGTGCTGCCAGGAGCACGAGGTTGTGGACGCTGATGCCGATTCTCACGCGGGTACATAGGGATAGTCTCCTTCCCTTGGCTGTCTCTGCCGAGGCCAGCGGTGCTTCTCATCAGGCGGGAAGTGCGAGGTGGGAAGCACGGGGGGAGCTGCCAGCAGTTCAGTAGGGCTGAGGTGCTCAGGGGCTGCTCAGAGTAAGTTGATTTTGTTAGGAGAGTCAAAGGGTGCCAGAGCCCTGGCACAGGCTGCCCAGGGAGGCTGTGGAGTCTCCTTCTCTGGAGATCTTCCCAACCCGCCTGGATGCCGCCCTGTGCCCCGTGCTCTGGGTGTCCCTGCTGGAGCAGGGGGTTGGACTCTATGAGCTCTAGAGCTCCCTTCTGACCTCAGCCGCCCTGTGATTCTGTGTGGCTCTGTCAAGGCTGCATGTGCCCGGCCTGGGGACACTCCTGAGCACAGGAGGGCACAGGGCACAGGTTGTACTTGTCAGGGATGTTGTCCTGACAGCAGCAAACTGTCGCTAAAGGCAAAGGTGCAATTTCTCTTTTGAAAAGTATAGACTTTCTTTTTCCTCATGGATCACTGAGTGCGAATCTTTCCACATGAAAGTACTGTGCTTTGTTTGTTTGATTATTTGTTTCTTAACCTTCTGTCTGAGTTGTGGAAAGTGGCTTAGGAGCTGGTACTAAGAACATTCAAGCCAAACTTGACAGCAGCAAACCCTGGAGAATTTCAGCTGATAACAGTTAAGGTTTCATATGCAGAATATGGAAGTATTACAAATCTATAATGTGAATATCAAAAAATACCTATGATGATTGTCGTTGGTTGTCATTTACCCTGGAGAGTCTTCCTTTGTTTTCTCATGGGACCAACTTTTTCAGGGGTAATTTAGAAACAGTGTTTTCATAGAGGGAGTAACAGTCGATCATCTAAGCCATAAAGATACTTAGATTTTATATTCTTCATTGTCAGTTCTTCCTAACTAAGCAAAAGTAGGTCTGTGACCATCTTATCCATGGTCACAGATGCATTGCCATGAATCTGAGCAGAACTTGACTTAAAATCAGGATAATGAATGATGAAAAATGAGGATCAGAACGATGTTGCAGTGTAGCTTTTGTACTCGTTTGTTTTTATTTTGAGCGGGCAATGCTGGCACAAAGCAATTTGCAGCTAGCTAGGCTGGCATGCTCTAGGAGAACATGTGGACAGCTGTGATTCACGGCGCTTTAAGATGTTTCTAAATGTTGAACAGTAGCTG